GTTGATGTATTGATAAACAACTATAATATGTAATTAGTTGATTGAGTGTGACGTGAGCTCAACGCCCAGTTTTGGGCAAACAGTGACGTATAACTTATGACTGATTTATTCCGAAGTATTTATAAGAAGTTTCTTGGTAGACAAGGCACGTCCTACACTTTTGTATATTGTTTCATAATTACGCTGAATTGATTAAAGCTTCTGACTTTCGTATGTGTTTATCATCATAAACACATACGAAAGTACCAGTACAGTAGAGAAACAGAGATAGAATCAATTTGGGGTGTGTCGAATGGGAATGACTTCATGTAGATACACACACAGGCTGTTTCTGTATTATGTGTTTTTTACCGACTATAACTTACCGCTTAAAAAAGCATATGGCCCAAAGTAAGTTTTTAATGTAGGAAATTACCATCGTCATCATCAACAGTCTTTAATAGTAGTAATAGGGACATAGCCCTTTCCTTGGCAAGGAGGTTTTGGCCTACTACTTTAAGTGTACTACACCATCGAAAATTTGAACGGACTTGAAGTCGGATGCCGTGGCCGAAATTGGTCGAGGATAATAGTAGTAGTAAAAAAATAAATTAACTTAACCCATTTGACACAAAACCATCTGACGAAAAACTAGGCAGAGCTTGTGCTATGACAACCAGACTCTTGATAAACATTCTGACGTATTTCTAAATATTTAGATGTTATTACACCCAGACACAGAACGTTGATGCTTATTTTCATAACATAACTATCTACTGTGAATGAGACTAGAAACTGTTGCGGGTCTCAAAATAATCACACAATTATGTGTGTTTGTAGGGGAATAATCCGTGTGGTGACAGATTAAGAATACAGAGTGTCACAACCCATATTCATCCCGTGGGTGTCGTAAGAGCCGACTAAGGGCGAAAACTACGCAGAACAACAGCACTGCAGAGAATAGGAAAACTTGACTCAAACCCTATACCAACCCGTCTGGCCAGCGTCTGGTATAGTAGGCCAAAACCTTCCTTCTAAGGAGAGGCTTATGTCCAGCAGTGGACTATTAAAGGCTGTTGACTGACTTGTAGGGGAATAAAACCCACGACTTCTGACTAAGCCGTCGGGATTACCAACCAAAACAAAAATCAATCTGTTTCACATTTCATGAATAATAATTTATGGAAAAAAAATATAACTGCCGGATAGCGTAGTGATTTGTGTATCGGATTGCTACGTAAAAGGTCGTGGGTTCAAATCCCACTCAAGTCACACATTTGTATCTTTAAAATTGATTGTTTGATTTGATGACAAAAAGAAAGTACAAAATAAAGTAATTATATCAGTTATCTACCCATAGTACAAGCTCTGTTTAGTTTAGGACTAGATGGCGTTCTGTGAATGTGGTAGAATATTATTATAATTATATCTAGATAGTTAAACAGCTTGACCTAAAGTTAAATATCAAGTCTTCGATTGGAATCCAATTTCCTGTTCGGATTAACTTGTGTTCTAATGCTTTGTGCTTATTATGTAAAGGAACAGTTAAACTAATGTCATGAGACGTCCGTTTAACCCTCACGTATTAAAGGTTACAAAGAAACTTAATATCCGTTTTATTAACCTGAAAGTAAAGCCTTAACAAACATTTAACGCTAGTAGTAGAGTCTCTTTGTTACGTTTGTATCAGATTTCTATTCTTGAGGTTGTAATTTTCTATTTTTATAAATGGAAAAAGAAATCTTAATATGTTTAAAAAAAAGTTATATAAAGTGTGTGAGTTCTGTTGTCCATGGTGAAATTGATTAAACACAGTCAGTGTTTAATAAATTTCAAAATAGACAATAGAACTCACACACTTTGCATAGCATGCCTGTAAGTAGTAAGTAGCATAGCGTGGCATTGCATAGCATGCCGGGTATAGCCATACCTGGCATGCTATGCAATGCCACGTAAATAAAAAAAAAATTAAATACAGATTTTTTGAACCCGGAACCCTCGCGGACGTCACCAGAACACCCCAACAAAGTTTAATCACGATCTGATCAATGGTATGGAGGACAAACATACAAACTTTCATTTTTATTTATATAGACTACGCAACTCAGCTGGCCGCACCATCCAGCAACAGCCAGTTTGAGTCACAGATCAGGACCCTGACCTGCTCAAGCCATCATCCATTCATATGAGCACTACTCCTGTCCTACTACTGCCGATCCTTCTAATTGTATCTTGTTTTTTTCTTTCCCACATTCACACAACGCCATCTAGTCCCAAACTAAGCTGAGCTTGTACTATGGCTACTAGACAACTGATATAAATACATATATACTTTTTTTTGTACATACAATACATACACAGTGTTTCTAATGTCCAGACCAAATAAAACATTAAATGTGTCTGACCATTGCAAGCCAGGCATAAAGTTTAAATTTAACTTTTGACCTATAATTTTAACTCACAACTATGAAATTTCACCCTGTACAGGTGATATACATATGCAGAACGATCAAATTAACGCTTGCCTATAAATTCCATTTACCAAGAATCATAAAACCAACCCTTGACCAACATTTAAACGCCATAGGCAGCTCAATAATTAATCTGACTTAACGATACTATTATTCGGTGGATAAATATTGACAGTTACCGCGAAACAGGCCAATTCTGGATATGTGAGTCTCGTGACCGTTGGTCGTTTTCTTCGAAAAAGTATGACTAAATTTGCGTTCAGTGATAAAGGATTGTAACGTATATTAACTGTCCCAACGAAGTAAAGAAAACATTTAAGCTGCTATTGCAAAATATAAAAGTTTATACGATGTAAATGAAATGTATTAGGTGTTCTGATAATTTAGGGCAGTTACTACGTAATGCCGAAAAAAGATATCCCTTTCTCTGGTACATATTAACTTTTCTAAACAGCGCGTCATCAATTTGCGATTTACACAATCCTTCGTAATAAATACTTATAGTTTTACTAATGTGTCATGAAATAGTATGATAATCGGTAAATTTTCATGTTAAAGAGTAAAATTTTGTGTACGGCATACCACGTTATAGGTATTACTCGTAAATATACCTTTGAATTACCTGATGTTTAGAAAAGATTTAAAGTTAAAATTGAGTATATCCTAAACCTAAAAACTGTCTGTTTTACTGTGAATGAATAGGTTTAATATACATACTATCTTAAAAAAATACTACAGCTTTCGTTAGTATTGAATGATACTTTTTGAAAATGTAGAATAACATTTATATATATTATTAAATTGCTAGTGTATTACTCACAGACTTAGATAAGCATCTACGCGTTAAAGTAGCGCTGTTATCTTTTACAGAAATTCGGAATAAATTAACAATGTATTAGCAATGGATTATGTTGGATTACAATAAAGCAAATTTCACAAATAAATTAAATCGTAGACATTAATACTTTATTTTTAATGTACTGTTTTATAAATATGTTTATACCTATATGTACAATCATGAATAAGGTACATCCTGTTGAATTGTCTTACGTTTCGACTATTTTACTCTGGGCTTGAATAGAGGCTAAGTAGAATACTCTTTATCATCATTATCAACAGACTATAATAGTTCACTGCTGGGCATGGGTCTCTCCTTAGTATGGAGATAAAAAATAATAATTTAGCTTTTGAATATACCTAATATGCGTAACTGAATATTACACTAACCGAATCAGAATCTTAATTTTAGCACTTTATTCGAAGAATTGAAAATCGGAATGTTGCTTTTCGGACCGAGAAACCATCGAGTATTTATTTATTCGAACGTATTTTATATAAATCTGAAAACAAACATCACATTTACGACTTTCGGTAAAATAAATTTCGTTAATAATAGAAATTATAATTCTTAGGCATTATGAAATTCGGACTTTTGAAAATCGGAACATCAAACTTCGGTATAAAATATTTCGAAGTATTTGTGTGTTCCCCTATGTCCAATGTTACATAATAATACAATTGATTAATCTTTAAAAAACCATATTCCTTGTGTTTCATCAAACTGATTTTAAAAACAAAAAAATTAAGAACATCCAAACTACGAAAATTTAAAATCTCAGAAATACCCGAGGTGTTTTTAATAGAATTTAATTGTTTACAGACAAATTTAAAGGACCATAATATATTCAGTAAAAGTGTAATATTATTTTTAAACACGAACACACTATGTCAACTAACTATTTTAATGTTGTTAATGTTGTTTAATGTCTATTTCTTTAACATAACACATAAGAGAATCACATTAGATTGTTCAAAATATTATTTATTTAAAACTAAAAAAGGGACTATCAAGTACGGTACATAGTTGTCTAATAAATAGATCATATCATATCAAAATAACTAAAAACGTAAAAAAAATATCTCCAAATTCGAACAGTATTATAACGAAAGCCTTTAACCACCTTTTCCGCAACGCAATTTAATCTATAAACTATTTTTATTCTTAATTTAATACAACATTACCTTTCTCTAAATTGAATGGCACCGTCGGAAAATGTGTATTAAACACTTTACTTGAATATTCGACATATCGTCCAATTTTTTTAAAAGCTCAAGACTCGTCCCTCATCTCAAAACTATTTCATAAAAAGTTCACTAAGTAGTTGAGAATATAATGTGGGAATGTAAATTACTTACCAGACTCTTCCTTTAGTATTTAACACACTTATAATGTAAAAACAAAAACGAAGATTTAAAAAGTTTGCGAAATGAATTTAAAGAGATTTAAAAGTGACAAAAGAACTGAACATCGACATATTATTTTTTATTGAATCATATGTTCTATTTTTTAAATTTGGATACATTAAAAAGTGTAGCTTAATTAAAAAAAATATTAGCCATAAATACAGAAATAAAAAAAACGACTATTTGTATTTAAAAAGTTAATACATGGCTGAGTTTAAAAAAAATAATATACGAAAGAAGATTTTATAAAAAATTAGAAAGACTAAAAAATATGAAAATTCGAATTACGAACAACTTGAAACTAACCGGCCAGCAGCAAGGCAAGCACAGCGGTCGTGCAGGCTGCGTATGGTTTCATCGTTGCGTTAGGAATGGCAAATTCTGTGAGCGCGCTTGCCTTTTAACTTTAGGGGTGAACCGCCCTCGCCGATAACGTAACTATGGTGCGTTTTCACACCCATTCTCGTGACGTAGAAAGATGACATCTTGAAAATTAATATTGCCTAAATTAGGATTTAAGCTGCCGCTCGCCTATTGTCTTTATCATGTGGATTATCTTAATAAATCTATTAATAGTAGGTGTATGAGTGGAAGCGTATCTCATGTGCTACGAGTTGCAACCGTTTGGTCACGATTAACTACCAATAGCAGGTGAAACGGTAAATAATTTTTTTGTGTATTTCACCCATGTTTCTTAGGTCCTTGTTGCATGCACTAAGTACGTGCCAAAAATGAAAATTAAAAGTTCCTCAGTTATTAAGAGCCAAGTAGAAAATTCAGATAAAAAAAAAGTTCTATCGGTATTATTTTTCACATATTATTAAATTCTGGTAAATATATGCCAAAAATGAAAATTAAAAGTTTCTAGTATATAACAAAAGTTTAAATTCATCGAGCTTATGCATTTTCTATAGTTTATCCTTTTCTGTTGCCAAATGTCCCGGTCGGTGATTCAGCAGTTACGGCAGCCCTATTATAAGTACACTTATTCTATGTAAGCTTTATAAGCAAAGATTTACGTATTAGGAAAACACAAAAATAACAGAAAAATCTGATAATGTAAGTTTAGTATTTCATTCGACTTGTTGCTTGACTTATTTAGGACCTGCATTGTTTTTTTTTTGTTATGGAAGGCCCCGTCTAACAATGTGTGTAAGAAGTAGATCTCTTTCTCTGTTTACAATAGTCTCAAAGAGAGTTTCCACGTGAAAAGAGTTAAATAAGTGCGACCTCCGACATCCACACAGCGGGATCCTCCTTGAGAAAGGGCAACCGCGAAACACCCGTGGGCGACCGTGTGTGACCTCCGGTAATCTCACCGTGAAAACAAAAGCAACGAAAAAATGTTTGACATCGGTTTTCTATGAGGACCTGGTACCACTCCGGTAGAGTTGCTCCATTTCTGCTGAAGCGTAGCTCTCCCACGGAAGAATTTGACAAGCTTTTTTTAAATTATCACTTACAAAAGGCACATGAAACAGAGAGAGCGAGGTTATTGTATGCGAGAGCGACAATTAATAATTACAATAGCCTTACACATCTTACACACGGCCTTCTGATCCAAAACTAGGCAGAGCCTGTGCTATGGTAACCAGACTGCTGATAAACATACTTATATATTTCTACATACATACATATTATGGATAAATTACACATAGACATAGAACAAATGATAGTGCTTATCACACAATTATTTGTCCTGGGTGGGAATCATTCAAATGACTTGTAGCTTAGCATTTCGGATCACCAACAGACCCGTCAAACTTGTCTCTATAGCAATCAATTGCTCTTCAAATTAGTAAAATGGGATAAAGTGGTTAACTAAAATCTTAGTAGGAAAGGAACGCTTGGGTTCTACGAGTAAGGCGCAGGGTTTGCTGACACACGATCGGAGACTGAGCATTTCGAACGCTACCGGCGCTGGACACGCGTCGGTAATCGGTCGCGTGTGGCGGACGGTCAGAGAACCCCACGCCTAAGGGACTTCCGTCGTAGAGTATCTACGGTACATCCGGTTGCAATAGACTCATATATGACGAAAGACCATATTGTTTTAGTCGGTTCGATAATCGAACTTCGATTCCGGCATACCACTTCACTCCGGTGAAATGTTTGTAAAAAACGAAACTATATTTTTTTACTTCACCAGGAATTTATTTAAAAGCCATCGCTCTTATGTATATATTTTTTTTATTCTTTAATTTGATAGATTTTTAAGATTTGGTTGGTTGGGTTTTATAGCACATAGACTAATTAAAACGTAAAATCTTTCAGAGATGAAAACTAAAGACTCTAAATCTCATATGTCAAATTAACTTTCTTCTTTCAGCAGACAATCGAATAACTTAGCTTTAATTTAATCATTTTAAAAGGCTTCTCGTTCTGAGAAAAATAATAAAAATATACACTAATACACATTCATTCAAATAACTGGAAAGTGCTTTTTTAAAAGCAATTTTATTGTTTACTCGTGTCTATGATTACCAATGGGGATTCTCTGTTCACATTACTTTAGTATGTAATTTTTTAGGGTGCTAATACTTATCTGTGATGCTATGGAGAAAACTTAAAAAATATCGAAAATTTGCTGAAGCGTGAAATATCTTCTGCATCAGGGATACGAAATGACCACGACGATCAAATTCTGCGTAAATGTTTATTTACATAATATTATAGGAAGTAATAATTAACCGTTAAATTGCGTATAAGTGCGCTTCCAACCTATGTCCCTCCCCCTCCCAGAATTTGAGGGTAGAGGGGAGGGGTTACACCTTATTACACCTGATGTTAAGCAGGTAAAAACCTATGTTCTGATAAATAGAAAGGAGTTGGATCTTGTGGACACCACCAAGATTTTGGGTATAACTCTAGTTTCTTAATTGCAGTGGGGCCCACATATTGATGGATTGTCGAATAGAATCAGCTCTGCAGCATACGCGGTTTATAAAATTCGTCAAAACGGCTAGTCTGGTGTATTTTGCCTATTTTCATAGTGTAATGTCATATGGTATTTTGTTGTGGAGAAACGCTGTTGACATTCAAAGTATCTTTTTGAATTGTATAGTATGTTTTTTTTTAAGTATGTAGATGTGAGTATAGTGTAGGCTTATAATGTTAGCTGATATTTAGTAACTTTCTGGTGGTTTGAGTTGTTTGAGAGTTTCCTCGGCCTACTCAAATGTTCTGCTGGCTGTAGTGTCGCGCTTCGGGTCGTTGATTTGGAGTAATATCCGTATGCCGTCTGTATGGACAGACCCTACACTGTACTTGCACAGTTTTCTTTAACTTTGTTTACAGACTTTATTAGTCCGTAAACAAAGTGAAAAAAAGACACCTCTGTGGTTTGTTTCAGCGTTTCTTCTCAGAGTGAGTCTTAGGAAATGCCGGCTCCTTCTAGCTGTAAAGTCCGACTTGTAACAATATTTGAAAAGATTAACTTACAGAAATAAATATCATTTCATTTCAATAACTTTAAATGACAAAATGATTTCATGGTTATCAATATATATTGTAAATATTATTTATGTATGTATATGCATGGGTGCGTATGTTTAGTTATATGTAATTTATATATATATATATATATATATTCTACACTACTGTAGGTTCAATACACCTAGACTACCCATTGTTTCTTCTCATCTACTGTCGATTTTTCCATCCAAATGTTGCCAGTAAGAGATTGCTTTTAGCGAAAAGGCCGCCCATTGTACATATCCGTCTGTAATATTCATCTAACATATTGTAATTGGTGTAAAATAAAGAATATTCTATTCTATTTTTTGAAGTCGTGGTATCACTCCATCGACTCATTTTTGTCTGAGCATGGCTCTCCCACGTAACTTTAATTTTACTAGATTTAAAAAACACATATATCAATATGTGTTCTTGAATCAGTAAACGGTCAAATCTTTTTGACAAACAAAGGTCTTACTGCGAGGAGGCGATGTGTGTGTGGAACATTAGTAATTTCATGTTAGAAGACTAAATATTCCAAACATCTTGAGCATTTTCTTATTGGATTATAAGAAATTGTTCGTAAAAATAATCTAAAATATGCCTGCCTATATTTATAACTGGTGATATCTTCAGGAGTTTCTCTTAATCTAATCTCAAACGCTTTCCATTGAAATAAATCAATCATTCGTAAAATCATATTAGCCAATTCGTTTTTGAGAAACCAAAGATTTACCGCTGTTTAGTGAAGTAAAAAATTATTTAATCAAACAATAAGGTTGACAATATTTTATATACTTTTCTTCAACAAAAGAACTGACTGAACTTAATATTAGTTATGTACAATACTTCTAAGAGTTCTATTTCATATTTATTTTAATATTCTAACGTAAAGAGAATTAAATATGATCATTTTCTGTCTTGTGATTGCACCTCACAGCTGATTTATGAGGTCGTAAATGTTGACCCTATGCTGTTAAATAAACTTTGTATTTGAAAATTCTTTAACTATCTAGCAATCCATAGAAAACTGATGGAAGTGCTCCGAACATAGGTAATTTTGTTCCAATAAGCTGATCTATTCAAGTTTTCTAATTTTTTATGTTTTTCTTTGAACCAGAGGTACCCTTGAGGTAAAAGGAATGATCCTTTTCTGTATTTATTTACCAGACAATGTAGGTATGCAAAGTTTAATGGCGATCGTGTCAACGTCAGTGAAAGTGCGAACGCGTGCTTTTGTTTTGTACTCACATTATTTTTATAATAGTAGCTAGAATAATTGAATGTCAGTCAATAATGACGCACTAATCACTTATAAATAATGCTTAAACTTCTATGAAACTAACACATCTAAATAAGTCAATAAGTAAAGACAGTTAGTAAGTTTCTTCCGACATTAGAAAAAGATGTGGTTCTCTATTCGCCTGTTTTTTTATGTTTGTTATCTCAGATCTCCGTTATTTATTACCCGATTTTGAAGATTCTTTGTTGTTTGGGGATATTACTTGCGGTTATACTTTTGTAAAGTTTAATTATTTATTGTTAAAAGTTACAATCGATTTAAAAAAATCATTTTGAAGGATTAGGACCAGTTTAAAGAACAATGGCAGAAACATATTTACCTAAAACTTAAGCGTTTAAAAAATCGAGTCACAGTAAACTTAATCAAATTTTTTTCTATGATTTATCATTACACCACCATGTGTTGTATAAGTCTTATAAGAGATAAGATATTTTTGAAGATTTTATTTGTCCTAAGTACGTAATGTCAGATTCGCCATCACGTATAACTGACTAGGGATGCGTGGTGGCAATATTATATTATGGAACAATTTATCGATAATCGATTCTTATAGCTTTGGATGAAATATTTACCGAAGGTTCACTATTATGATTATGAAT